TGTTGGGATGCTTGGATGCTGTGTGGCAGGAGGCTGCTGGAGAGAAAGAGGTGTGTTTGAAGGACAAGGAGATGAGGAGGATATTGAGGCTCTGGCTCGGTGGCAGGAGCGAGAAACACCATGACACTACATTCCTCTTTTTTGATTCAATATGTCCCACTGCATTTCTACCTGATAACTGCCAGTCTCACAGGCAGCGAGCTGCTTCCAGCTCCAGTTACAAGGGAGGTCAGCCTTCAAGGAGGAAATAAGTATGTGGCTGTTTTCCCAGAGCAGTGAGACGGTCAAAGGCTCTTCCCCTCCTGCATGCCAGTGACTAATGTGGCAGGGCCTGAGCCATGATTCCTGCTCCTCTTTCCACAGCTCTGTCCAAGTTGCTCCATGATGCTGAATGATCCCTGCACCCCTCCACCATTGCAGCCATATGGAGACTGGCATGAGTGCTGGCAAGGTGGGCTGCTCATCTTGCCCTCTCAGAGCAGGCAGGGAAGCTGCTGACCCCTGGGCTCTGCTCCATTACCTTGAGCACAGAGGGGAACAGCTTTTCTAGCTGACTTTGGTTTTTGAATTGTCATCAAGTCGATGGATAGAAGGGTCTAAAAAAGGTGAAATAACCTGTGATGAGCATAGGACACAACTGTCAGCAGTCAGCCAGCTCTGCAGGTCAATATGGAGAGAATGCTCCTTAGGTGCCGACTGCCCCATGGTGCTGCGTCAGACAGTGGTTGGCCACCTCAGCCCAAGGCAGGCCTCAGCATAATTATCTTGAAAGCTGAGCTAATTAGTTGATTAACGGTGGCATAGAGAAGCGTCAGTATGACTGCAGGGCCTCTCTGCTGGGATACTGAGTTTCAAGGGCTGTGCTGGGCTCAGTAGGGTCATCAGTCTGGGTGGCTCAGATGTAGGTGTTCCCACAGAGCGTGTTCCTGGGAGCTGTTCCCCTTTGGAAAGTCTGCCCAAAGTGAGATGGGGGTGCTGGGAAATCCTGTCATACACTGGAACCTCTGTACCCACTGGATAAGATTTACCAGTCTGCCAGTGATGCCAGGTTGATAGTTACAGGTAGGGATGAGGATGAGAGATCTCAAAACAGTTTAAGGGGGCAGATGCTGGCTGTGGTCGTAGGTGTGGCTGTTGACTGGTAGGACAACGGAGAGGAGAAGGGGCTAGAGGGGAGTGTGCTGATTTAGGTCCCTATTAGTTGATTTACGCTGCAGATGAGTCTGGTCCCGTGGGCAGCTGGACCAACATTTTTATTTCACTGAATGGTCAGGGCCTCTGGAGTCATCCAGTGCAACCCCCTGCTAAAGCAGGTTCACCTACAGCAGTTGCACAGGATGGCATCCAGGCAGGTTTTTGAATATTTCCAGAGAAGGAGACCCCACAGCCTCTCTGGGCAGCCTGGTCCAGAGCTCTGCCACCCTCAGTGTAAAGCAGCTTTTCATCACGCTGAGCTTGAACTTCTTGTGGTCCAGTTTGTAACCATCCATCTGCTCTATCTGCTTTTGGTTTCAGGCTTCCATTATTACTAATGAGTACAGGCAAGGCAAGTGCATCAGTGCCAACTGAGATGGACTCATCAAGAAACATTATTGGCCAGAAAACCTTGAGATTAGCCTTGTGACCAAAACTGTTTCTTGTAGCTTTCATGCAGTACCCAGCTGTCTTCTGGCAGCATGAGGCCACCAAATGAGTGGAAAAGACCCCTTCTCTTTTAGGTTTATGCGCAGCTGCATGGTGCAGTGGCTGGGCACAAGCACCTCAGAGCTGCAGCACAGCCTGGATGTGACCTGCATCAGGGCAGCAAAAGGTGATGGCTGTCTTGTGACCAACTATCTACTATACCCCCAGTGTACTGCAGGGTGGCAAGTTTGGACCAGAGCGGAGTGCCTGGGGTGAGTGCCCAGCCATGGATGAGGTCCTGGAGCCAGAGTTTGAGCTCTTTTGGGGCTTTGGGAACACAACAGCTGAAGCTTGACCATGAGGTTTTAGTGGCCACAGAAGAGCAGTGACAGCAGCAGGAGCCTGGGAGTGACCAAGTGTCTGTCCTAGAGCCTTCAGGGGGAAATAGCAAGTCCCCCTGTTTGTTCAGAGATGTCGTTTGGCCCAGACAGCACAATTCCACTTTCTAGGGAGTGAGATGTAACCCATGCTGAGCATCCCAGTTACTCCCAGCCCATGGCACTCCTGGAGACAGCCACAGGAACACTGCCTGCACTGGGACACTGCCTGCACTGGGGCACTGAGGCTGTAGGACACCTGGGGATGTCAGCAGCTGGATGTTCTGCTTGAGGAAACCTTAGCTGAGTTATCTTTCCCCTAGATATCTTCTAGTCAGGAGACACAGCCCACTCAAGAGCTGCTGCTCAGCAGCATCTCCCTACAGATGCTGAGAACAGAGGAAGCGAGGGCCAGCACACTCCAAAGGGTGATGCTGTGGTTAAATGCCTACATTATGCAAGAGGGTCCTGACCCTTCAGGATGATTCACTGAAGGATGGGGAGGGGGAAACGACCAGATCTCCCTTCCCGTCATTATTCCTTCACTGCAGGCTTTTAATTTGTGCCTCCTCTCTAAATGAGGGAGCTGCCCATCTCCATCAGCCGTGCCCTGAGTGTCATCGAATCACAGCATGGTTTGGGCTGGAAGGACCTCAAAGGTCCCTGGCCCAACCCCCCATGGGCAGGGACACCTCCACCAGCCCAGGCTGCTCCAAGCCCCGTCCAACCTGGCCTTGGGCACTGCCAGGGAGGGGGCACCCACAGCTTCTCTGGGCAACCTGGGCCAGAGCCTCACCACCTCACAGGGAGGAATTCCTTCCTAATATCCAGTCTAAATCTACCCATTCCAGTTTAAAACCATTACCTATTGTCCTATCACTACACCCCTTGATAAAGTCTCCCTCCCTGTCTTTCCTGTACGCCCCCTTTAAGTACTGGAAGGCTGCTGTAGGTGTCCAGGCCCTGCATCTCATCCTGGCCCATTTCCTCTCTCACCCAGGTCACAAGAAGCAGGCAACACCTGATGATGTGTAGAGGGTGAAGTCTGACTGCTCTCTTGTTTTGCCCCAATGGGAGGTTGTTTCCCATAGCCAGTGCAGTACTAAGGCAGGGGCAGGATGGTACCTGTTTTGTCATAGAATCATTAGGTAGGAAAAGTCCTTTAAGATCATCAAGTCCAACCATTACCTGTCCACCACCAAACCATGTCCCTCAGCATCTCATCTCCCCATCTGGTGGGGATGGTGACTCCACCAGTTCCCTGGGCAGCCTCTTCCAGTGCTGGACAACCCTTTCAGTGAAGAAATTTTCCCTCAGATCCAACCTAAACCTACCCTAGCACAACTTGAGGCCATTTCTCCTTGTCCTGTCACAGCTACGAGGGAGAAGAGATCGACCCCCCCCCTCGCTACCCCCTCCTTTCAGGAGCTGCAGAGGGGATAAGGTCTCCCCTCACCTCCTCTTCTCCAATTGAACCCCCTCACCTGCTCCCCATCATTTGGGTGCTCCAGATCCCTTCCCAGCTCCGTTGCCCTTCTCCAGATGTGGTCCAGCCCTTCAACATCCTTGTAGTGAAAGGCCCAAAACTGAACCCAGGATTTGAGGTGCCGCCTCACCAATGCCAAGTACAGGGGGAGGATCGCTTTCCTGGTCCTGCTATAATTATTATATTAATAATTACTAAATTATTAATTTAAAACAAGCCCATTTTCATTCCTTTCTTCACTCCTTAACACTTCCTCTCAGGCCCTTCGAGATCATCATCCTCCTGACCATCTTTGCCAACTGTGTTGCCCTGGCCATCTACCTGCCCATGCCTGAGGATGACACCAACATCGCCAACTCCAGCCTGGTAAGGCACAGCCCTTCCCCGCTGTCCTGCTGCCCCGCCAGGTGCTCTGCGCAGCCGGTCCCTCAGTGTGGCAGGGGTGCAAGGCGGTCGTACCCCGCAAGGAGAGGCCCTGTGGGACACAGTTGGGCATCCTTGGGCTGGTGATGGATGCTGCAGAGTCAGAGGGTGGCAGAGTGGTGGAGAAATGGCTGCAAAATCAGATTTTCAGAGGGGCTGAAACCACCCTAAGGTTGTGATCAAAAGCAGCAGATTAAGCCAGCACGTGTCAAGTACATGGGAAGGAAGAACTGATGCCAAAAAAAAGAACTAATTCCCTCAGTTTTTTATCATGACACTTCCGAAAGGAAACATTCTGTTCCAGAAAGGCTGAAATGTTTTGTTTCAGCATTTTTGGACTAACATTTTCTGACCTTTAATTTCAAAACAGTATTTCGATTTTGTTACTTTTTATTTAAAAGGAACAAACCCATCTCTGTTAAGCAGAGAGCTTGTTCCTTTCCAGTCAGTTACTCCATTTTTTTCCCAATCACTCCATTTTGCCTGGAATAAGAGGTTTTGATGTGATCCAAATCAATAGCTTGCACTATTTTTAGTTTGCCACCCCTTTCTCCTCTTCAGATCGCTACTGTGGCTCAATCCAGATTGATTTCCATTGAGAGTCTGAGTTTGATGGCTGAGTTGCAGAATCTAAATACACCCATTTTCAATGAAATGTTCTCTTCTGCTACTTTCAGGATTCTTCAGTGTTGGGGTGGGTTGTGTTGTGTGCACGTATTGCAGGCAACTTGTGACTTAAAAAAGCACCGCTTTGGTTTTCACCTGTTCGTTAGAAACTCTGTGAGGAACAATATTAAAGCAGTCAAAGAATCTGAGATACAAACAACAAAGTAAGGTTCTACCTGTGCAGTTTTCAGTTCCTTGAACAGGCTTTTAGTGGCACTGAAGATAGCATTTACTTCTCCTTTCATTGGAAAAGGAAGAAAAGTGATCACTACTGGCAATGTGTTACCACATTTCTTTTTGAAAAGAAAACTGAGATAGGCCCACAGAGGAGGGGAGTTAAAAATACTCTCAGAGAGTTAATTCCTGGGGTGTTTCTCTGACACCTGGGAGCTGGGGGCAGAGCTGAGCTCAAGATGCTGGTTTTGGTTTATTCCCTGGTCCAGTGGGTGTAAGGGGCATAACAGTATTTGAAAGGTGCGGTTATTTCAGCTGAGAGATTCAAGAGGCAAAGCAAAACTGGGGCAGGTGGGGACAGCAGGGATGGGGCCTCCCACTGTGAGGGGGTTTGGGATTTGGCTGAGACCAGGACCCCTGCGAGGGCAGAGCAGGAGAAAGCCCAGCAGCACCAGCACTGAGATGTGACAGGGTGCGCAGCCTGGCAACCCAAGGAGGACCCACAGCCCTCCCCACTGGCGTGAGGCAGGCAGGCGTGTAGTGAGTAATGCCATCTACAGTTTAATTTTCATCGGTTTATATTTATTGTATAGTAGATTACTTATGCTGAGTCCTATTGGGGGTTTTTTCAGCCTGTTGCCATGCCAACCGCCCTCTGTATCAGGAGCCTGGCAGCTCCAGGCCTCTGTTCTTTCATCTCTGCTCTGCATGTCCCTTTGTCATCCTGTTCTGGTGGCTTTGTAGGAGCAGTCTCAGCTAAGATACCCCATCACCTCGGGTATCGGGCCGTGTTCTGCACAGGCCCATAGGTAGTGCAATAAAGGCTTATTGGAGGCACTTCTCCCTCCACCCAAGGGATGCTGCAATGCATGTAATCTCTCCTTGTCTTTCTTTTACTTGCCTCTCTTCATTGCCCAGTCCTCTCCAGAGAGCACTGACTTTACCTAAAGACCTTGAAATCATTGCAGAGGCAAAACGTATGAGGGGAAACCGAATCAGAGCAGCAAGGACACTGCCCCACGGTATTTGTGGAGTCAGGATGCAGGCTCACTCTCGTCAGAGCTCACTGCTAATGGGTGTGCAGGAGCCTCTCCAGCCCGAGCTTTCTTTAGAGAAGCCTCCTGCCTCCCAGGCACTTGATGCAGTGAAGGCCATGCTGCTTTGAAGCTGTACAGAATACACTGTTAATACCACAGGTAATGGCCCTCTGTAGGCACTCTGTTAGTGTCACAGATAATGACTTTCAGTTTAGGTTGAACAAATGTTTAATATAAAGGAATAAGATTCAAAAAAATCCCATCATTTTGGATTGCATAGGACTGTATCTTCGCCACAGGGATCAGGGGTCCTCTGTGTTTCAAAGCCTGAATACAGCCCCAGGCACAACTCAGTTACAGGAATATGAGTATCTGATGCTGTTGCAGGTGTCCCAGACCTCTGTCGCTGCTCTGGAGGGGTGTGCCTGGCTTGTGGGTCCTGTGTGACATCTGCCACCCCAAGACTGTCTGATGTAGCCCAGGGCATCTCCAGTAGTGCTGAAAGCAGCTACATTTGGGCAGCTGACTTGTGTCTAGCAGTCCTTGAGCAGAGATTGCTGGTTTTGAAAAGCGAATATCTGCTGCCAGGTGTCTGTCCCTTGAGGCTGGCATGGGTCCCTGCCATGGGTCACTGCAGGGAAGCCTGATTACATGTGGCTTTCTTAATGCCTGGAATCACCCTTGATCTCCTGTGGTCCTCTAATAGCTGTGAGGATAGACCACATGCCCACACATCCCCATACACGGTCTTGGTGTGAGACTTCAGAAACTGTTGTTGCTCTTGTACCCAGCACATGGAGAGACTCCTGTAAAGATGCAGCTGTACAAGCTTCCCCTCCCTCCCCCCTTCCTTTTGCTGCTGTTGAGGGCCAGCACCCTGCACCCCTGGGGCTTGGCACGCCTGGCAGCATCTGTAGCTCAGTCTGGGGTTCTGGGCACACATCTGAGCCAGGCCCCTCTGATCTCCCTGGCCCTACACATGAGTGCTCAGCCACCCCAGGAGCCACTTCACAGACAGCCCTGCCATCGCAAGCTGGCCTTCTTTCAAGCTCCTTCCCCTCTGGGCAGAGCTGGTGAGAGGATTTCACCTCCCCTTTGCACAGATCCCAGCTGTGGCTTTGGCTACCCATTGCTGGTGCACAGCTCTCACGCTCCGGTTTGGCTGGCAGAGCTGACCACTTGTCCTGAATGCCAGTAAAAATACAGCAGCTTCCAAAGCCACCTCCATCAAGCAGGGTGCCCTGTGGTCCCCACCTCTGCAGCAGGTGTCCTCAGAAGGGACCTTGCTGACCCTGGATTACTCTTCCTGTGGTTGGACTCTACACACCCTGGGTCTGACAGGCGTCAGCTCAACCCTTGTCTGTACCGTGTCCAAATCTTTCTCCTGGCCCTGATTTTGCTGGGTAAGGTGGCAGCACCCAGAAAAGGCTGTTCAAACCAAGAAGACCTAGGGCATTAGTTCAGGGACAACCCTCGTGATTGCCACCAGGGTGTCCCACAGCCGGGCGGCTGACACCATAGGGAACAACCTGTTGTAGGGTGATGTGCTTGCATAGCTGCAGGAGAGGTTTACTCTTTTGGTTCCTGCCTGCAGCCCCGATGTTTGTCAAGCCCAGGTCCGTCACTTGTTTCTGGGAAAGGAGGAGCTGTGGCTGGGGAATATGGCAGAAAATCACAGCATCACAGAGCAGCTGAGGGTGGAGGGACCTCTGAAGATCATCTATTCTAAAGATCTGCTCTAAACAAATTGTGCAAATGATTCAAAAACTCTTCCAAAATCTTTCCTGCACATCTCCCCCTCCCAAGTGCTCCCTGTGCTCTAACAGAGGCCACTGTAAGAAGCAGAAATGTTTCTCTCAATGTGTGTTCCCAGACATGGTTCACAGCAGCCCCAAGGGCCATGCCTGCCCTCCACTGTGCCCTTCCCAGGCCAGGTACCAGGGGGTCCCACCACGTACTCAAAGAAGCCTTCCTCTGCTCCAGTGCTCACTTTTATCTTGATTTCCAAAGGAAGGGGAGCCTATGAGATAGCTATAACTGTGTTAACATACATTCATTAGCTGTCCTGTCCCCTTCTCCCTCTCACATGTGCAGGGCTTGTCTCATCTGCATTCAGGGGAAAAGGAGAAAGGCACAGAGCTACTCTGTTTTGTAAAGCAGGGTTGCTGCAAGCCTCTGGAGAATGGAGGCTTATGAGTGTTTTATGTTTAAAAGGCCCTTACGAAAGACTTCAGCGGCACAGCTACCTGCCCTGCGTGTTCTGGCGCAGGCAGTTTACACGTGCATCTGGTCAACCCATTGATGCCCATACATACAAAACCCATATTTACTGGGAAGGGCGGTCGAACATGGGGCACAGGTTGCCCAAAGGGATTGTGGAGTCTTTGGAGATGTTCAAAACCTGCGTGGACAAATTTCTGAGCAACCCACTATAAGCCAGCTCTGTTTTGAGCAGAGGGGCTTGGAGTAGGTGATCTCCAGAGATACCCACCAGCCTCAAAGCTCCTGTGATCTGTAACAACTGCCTCGGCCGTGGCAAGGGCCACCCCTGAGCCCAGCAGCAAAGGACGGTGTGAGACAGTGGAGGCGATGGGGCTGCAGCTGGAGGGGGAAGGGAAGGGGAGCAGACAAAGAGGCTCTAGGGGAGGTGCAGGGGCTGATGGTGCAGGAGCAGGAGGACACGGAGAAGGGTAGGAGGCTGGGGACAGCTTGGAGGGATCAGGGAGGAGTGTGAGTGCTGTGAGTCCCGCTGTATGTGGATGTCTTCTGCTGGGAAGCAGGGGTAGCTGTCAGGCTGTGTTAGGGTCACACTGTCCCCTCACCATCTGTCCCCCACTTTGGCCAGCCAGGAGGCTTTATCCAAGTCCTGCTCCCCTATTCCCTGGGAGGAGACACCAGGGAGATGGAGCTGGGGCTCATTCTGGAGAGCCCTGCATGTCTGTAGGAGCTGGGTGATGACATTGCCAAACAGGCTGGAGATGTGTCATGTTGCATCGCATCAGCGGGGTACGTGCTGCTATTCCTGCTGCTCTGCGGCTTTGGTGGGGTTTTTT